AGATGGCGTTTATTAAAGAGGAGAGTGAAGACATGAAGATTGAAGAAGCATTCAGAGTGAAACATGAAGATACTGAGACCCAAACAAAGATGGCGTTTATTATAGAGGAGAGTGAAGACATGAGGATTGAAGAAGCATTCAGAGTCAAACATGAAGATACTGAGGAACAAACAGGTTGGTTTTCATTCTTAAATCTGAACTCACTCATTTGATCCTTATTAAAATGTCCAACTCTACAGAAAGGAATGATATTTTTGAAGAATGTCACGAGTTTTGTTATTAAAAATGTGTTTGACATGGAGCGGGTCGCATCATGTTAGGGTTGCCACCTTCAGCGAGGCAAAATAAGGGACACCGTGAGCAACTCCAATGCTTCTCTGCAAACTGCACGTTCATCATTAGTTCCTGGACGGACCCATTGATAACTTTCCCATTCAGCCCTACATCTGGAGAGCCTTGTGTTCAAAGGGGACATGTGAGTTCTAGATGTTATAAAACCGCGCAGGTTTAGCGCATGCTGCGCTCGCGTGAAATGGCTTTAATGGTGCGCACTCTGGAGACTCAGTCACTAAACAAAGATGCCAAAATGCATTCACGCTAAAATGAGCTTCTCTAATACTTCTTATGAAATTGATTTCATTATAATTGCTACTAGTATTATAAACAGTACAAAATACTTATTTATTGATTCAACTTTGGCCTTTGTAAAATACGGGACAAATCGTGTCCCGTATTGATTTGATTCGGGACGCATCATTTTACCTTTAAATACGGGATGATTCCATATTTTAAGGGACGGGTGGCAACCCTACATCGTGTGGACTGACATGTTGAGACAAAGACTATAGAATACCAAAGACGTGTCACTCGTTTAGTTTTGAATGCGGAAAAATGCAACGCTCAATATGGCCGCTCAATCGCAGGAAGCTTAGCGAACAGTTTTGGAGAATTTGATGTTTCCCCATTCAAAGAGATAGGAGTTGCACTTGCATGCCCGAGAGGTGTTTCAAAGATGGCCGCCGAGTGACATGACTTGTCTTAAAAGGACTTTGGTTGAGATCACATGAACCATTACCATTAAACATACGCAACTAAGATTACGCAAACTTTGCTCTTTATTTAGCATCATCACTTTGAATAACGGGAAGAAATTTTAAGATCACATTTAACACCTCCTTTAATAGCTTAGTGCGTATAAGATCTATATGTTGTTGGTTTTTTGATGTTTGTTATTTGTGCCATTAAAAATTGTGTTAATCTGGATTTGTCTTTTTTGCATTAGACCTGATGACACTGAAAGAGGAGAGTCAAGAACTCAGTGTTCAGCATGAGAAATATGATTTCATGACTGGAGAAAAATCATTTAGATGCTCACATACTGAAAAGACAGCAAATAGAAGTTATTTCACTTGCCAACAGTGTGGGAAAAGTTTCACCAGAAAAGGAAATCTTGAAGTCCACATGAGAATTCACACTGGAGAGAAACCTTTCACCTGCCAACAGTGTGGAAAGAGTTTCATTAAAAAAACAAACCTTAAAAACCACACGAGAATTCATACTGGAGAGAAGCCTTACACGTGCTCTCAATGTGGGAAAAGTTTTAAACATAAACAACACCTCGATGACCACAAGAGAATTCATACTGGAGAGAAGCCTTACACCTGCCAACAATGTGGAAAGAGTTTCAATCACAGAGGAAACCTTGGAGACCACATGAGAGTTCACACTGGAGAGAAGCCTTACACCTGCAAACTGTGTGGAAAGAGCTTCATTCGAAAACCAAACCTTAAATACCACATGAGAATTCACAGTGGAGAGAAACCTTTCATATGTTCTCAATGTGGAAAAAGTTTTAAACATAAACAACACCTCGATGACCACATGAGAATTCATACTGGAGAGAAACCTTTCACCTGCCAACAATGTGGAAAGAGCTTCATTCAAAAAGGAAACCTTAACAAACACATGAAGATTCACAAGGGAGAAAGGCCGTTTACATGAGTTTCGGACATAAAGTAGCTCTTTAACGTGTACAGTCACACCAGTGTGATTATTGTTCAGTCTGTCATGTGATTAACTGCAAAATTCAGATATGCTTTCGTGTTTGGCTGGTGCTGAGCCAGAGATGGATGTGCTCAGTGCTTGTCATATCCCTTGTGAAAATTAACCAGCTTTTACTATAGTAAAACTGTAATAACCATGACTGTAGTAACCACAATTTTGCTAAAGCAGCTTGCATTACATTTAACAAGTTGTGTAATGAACTTCTACCAAGTAAAAAGGTAACACTTTATTTTAAGGGTCCAGAATAATGCATTAGTTAAGCACTGTTAAAGCTTTAATTGATCTAGTAATTAATTATGTACTTGTTCACAATTATGCATCAGTTAAGCATGAACACAGACGTAATTATTGATTATCTATTTATTAGATATTTATTGATATATCTATAATTACAATCGGAATTATATTAAAAATGGTCCTGGCTATTCCAAGCCTTTCAATGGGGGTAAGCGGGTGTTGGTTGTCAACAGTTCAGAAGATGTGAAATAAAGTGCGCGCATCCCTAATAAAACGTCCCTCACATGGCTCCGGGGGGTGAATAAAGGCCTCCCGTAGCGAATCCATGCATTTTTGTAAGATAAATATCCATATTTCAAACGTAATAAACACTTTTTTTCTCACTTCCGCTGACTGTGGTATGCAGAAGGCGGTCAGACGGATTAAATATTAAAATTAGAATTAAACTCCATCTTTCCACTGGTACTCAGACTGTTTAACCCTCTATGGTACGGAGTTGCCATATGGCAACAATTAATTTCTACTAATTTCCTTGTTACAAATATTTCATGGTTAGAACATAATGCGCACCATAGAGGGTTAATGAAGATAAGAGGTTCCATAAATGCATTTACACACTTAAATTGCAAATGCATAAATAATGTTATAAGATTAAATAAATTTAACTTTTTTTAACAAATATGAAATGATGGAAAAATGCAATGATACTTTTAAATATGAAACCAAACCACCAGTAGGTGGTGGCAGATCACTGTCTTAATGAGTGAGTCACTGATTCAACCGATTTGTTCAAACAGCTGATTCATTCAAGAAATAAAGCAAGTGACTGTCTTAATGAATGGCTCACTGAATCGTTCGTTCAAAAATGCGTAATCATTCAGTAACATAACACCGCTGTGTGTTGCTCGGAGATGCGCAACTGTTCTGCTATGGCTTTGCTTAGAACTATTTTTGTTAGAAAAATGATCAATAATGTGTCTAAAATGTAAGTCAGTTAATGTTAACTATTTGTTTATCGAACTACTGTTGTGTAAAATCAGTGTCACATTTGCAACCGTGCTGGTGCTTGGTCGTGCGATGTTGCTTACCTGTATCATATGTTATATAGAATTTTTTTTTTTTTTTTCCGTGAGTCAGATACGCTGCACGAGCCTCAACTGATGCAACCTCGATACTGTCAAAACATCATCCGTTATCAGTCACCGTTTACACTGCAAGTAATAAAATCTGAATCATTCTCACCAAAGTTTCGGTGCTGCCCTAGTTATTGTTTGTTATTGATGTTTTAATCAGGTTACTTGTCCGGTCAGGCAAGTAAATGTTGAGCCCTGTATTGTTAACCTCAACAGTTGTGTACGATGAGGAGTTGAGGTGAAGCTCTTCACATTAAGCCAGAAGGAAACATCAAATGCCTTGGGGCCACATTTCAGTACAAATCCAAGAAAGGAACTTGGGTGTCTTGCCCCTTAGTCATCCTTGGAACCTGCAAAAGTAAATTACAGCCTATGTTAACATTTTTGCTGAATCATCACACAAGGGCATAGGTTTGTTTTGATAGTTCATATGTAGTTTATGAAATATCTAAATACAATGCATTACAAATGGAAATTTTTGCTAAATCAAATCATGAAATATACTCACATTCTCTACCTGCTCTTTCAGAGTAAGGCATCCTCCTCTAGTGAAGAGGTCCTGCTCCTCTCCTGTCATTGTAATACAAGGCAGAATGTCTGGCCACTTGGTTCAGTGCAGGGTTGTTCTTTGACCCAGGCATAATCGATCACGGCCATAATTTGACGATGTGTTCAGTTCTTAATGATTTACGTTACACCCTCCTCAGAGGGTGCAGCTGCTGTGCTCCATGGTGCAACAAAGACTGCTTCACCATTTGAGAGGGTGCTCAAGCTGGAGTTTTTTTTTTTTGGCCACGAGTGATAACACTGTCAACAAAGCTGAATCTCACAGTTGTGCTTGTTGTCCGGGGGGCCACACATTTTAAATATATTGGTTCAGGTCAGCTGTATGGGTCAATCAACTTAGACGCCATTCTGGTGGTAAACAAAAGTACAGCGGAACTGAACTTAAAAACTGCTTGGTAAATGCATTAAAGCTTAAAAGAGAACAAGAAAAACATGAACTAAGTCATATTCATTTTTAAAAAGAAGATTGATAGAAGATTTAGTGTGTGGTAAAGAAGGAGAAGAAAATTTAAAAAATAATATATGTATGAGATAGTTCCCCCCAAAACTAAAATCATATTGTTATATTTAAAATATCTTTTGTGTTCTGAAAGAATATAAAAAGGAACAAAGCCATGCAGGTTTGGAATAACATGAGGGAGATGAAAGAATTTTCACTTTTTGGGTGAAGTATCTTTTGAAGAAGATTGTAAAACAGATCAAGAAAAATTTATGAAACAAAAGGAACAAGGTACAGTACAGTCAAAAGTCTTATGCTTATCAAAGCCTATATTTATTTGATCAAAAATACAGAAAAAACAGCAATATTGTGAAATGTCATTAAAATTTAACAACTGTTTTCTATTTTATTTCAAATGTAATTAATTTCTGTAATGTAAAGCTGAATTTTCAGTATCATTATTACACCAGTCCTCAGAGTCACGTGATCTATCAGAAATCATTCTAATATGCTTATTTAATGCTCAGTTATTATCGTGCTGCTTAGTATTTTTTTGGAACCTGTGGTACTTTTTTCAGGATTCATTGACGAATAAAAAGTAAAAAAGAACAGTATTTATTCAAAATAGAAATCATTTTCTAGCAATATGTCTTTACGAATTTCTTTCAGAAAAAGAGAAAGAAAAAATGACTGACCCCAACATGGTAGTGTATATTTTTACAAAAAAAAAATTTAAATAAAGTGGCTAATTTGGCTTTAGCTGGCCTCCTTGAGAAAACAGACCCTTTAGGCAAAGATAAAAATGTATTTAGGACGTCCTTCATCCCAAATTCTTAACTCTGCAGGTGACTGACAGAAATCAAGCAGACATTGACATTGATTTTTTATTATGTTTTGACCTTGTGAACAGACCGTTTTCACATTTCCGGGTCTCTCGGAAGTGAAAGTCATCATTGTTGTGTAAACTTCTGTAGTAATGAATGGAAACGGCAACAAATATATTTTTGTGTTCTCATTTGCCCCAATAGCAAAAGAAAAAAAAAATCCATTAAAGTGTTTCAGTGACTTTCCAAAAGAGGGGAATGAATGAATGAATAAATAGAGATTGATTAATCACGAGAACCCAAAGGTTGTGGGTTCGAGTCTCGTACCGCCAGGGATTGTCGGTGGGGGGAGTGAATGTACAGCGCTCTCTCCCACCTTCAATACCACGACTGAGGTGCCCTTGAGCAAGGCACCGAACCCCCAACTGCTCCCCGGGCGCCGCAGCATAAATGGCTGCCCACTGCTCCGGGTGTGTGTTCACGGTGTGTGTGTTCACTGCTGTGTGTGTGCACTAAGGATGGGTTAAATGCAGAGCACTAATTCCAAGTATGGGTCCCCATACTTGGCCACATGTCACGTCGTTCATTTACTTATTAATATTGTTATTATATTATTATAATTTTTTTCTTTTTGTACATGTATACTAGGCTTTGGCTATTTTGTATCATTTACAGTCATGCCAATAAAGCAATTTTGAATTGAATTGAACTGAATTGACTAAGTGAGTGAAGAATAATGCACGGTGCATGTCGACCGTATTTATGTGAATACTCACCAGTGCAGACAGACATTTTGACACTCCGTGTTTGGAATGTTTTAGGCGGGCCACCGAAGACAAAGGCTGTGTCCGAAATCGCCCCCTATACCCTCATTCACTATTCCCTACATTAGGACACTAATTCAGCTACTATGCTTGTCCGTGCTCCACTCGGACCTCGTGTGCAGAAAACATCCAGTCAGAAGCGGGTTGAGTTCTGTTTGAGTTTTTAATACTGTCTGTCTTTTTAATATCAAGAATGACCCGCTCTTATTAATAACGCTAGCAGTCCCACCCGCTGAAAGCTGCATGGAAAAAGCTAAAATAACCAGCGAAATGTTTTATACTGGCTCTTGGCACAGGAGAACACCATATTCTATAAAACAACGTATATGTTTCACTGTCATTTTTTACATACTTTCTCACTTTTTCTGCTGTTCAAAAAATCTTTCTTTTCGCTATTACCACAAACAAGCTACGCAGCTGAGTTTATTAGCTCTATGTTACATCAGTGGTTTGCTGTTGTGACTCGCGAACAGCACTGAACGTGCACTGAACACGCACTTTGACCTGCACAAAAAAATGTATTAATTTAAGCCTTTTATCAGCTTATGTAGTCTCTACAACAAAGGAATTGCTGATCTCTAGTGATGTATAATTTTTGTAATAGATAATTTGTTGGTAAAGGGTGAGAGATCTGGCGAGCCATAATTTTTTATTTTTTTTTATTTTTTTGTATCCAGCCCTTTTATCTAGTCAAAAAACTAAAGAAGAAGAAGGAGATCTGGCGAGCCACATGATTTTTGTCAAAGAGCCAGGTGTGCATAGCATAGCATAGGTTCCCGACCGCTGTACAGACCTTAGTGTGTAAACGGACTTTTATTTTGCTCTGGCGAAGTGACGTCATAAAGCTGCGCCGCGCTCCTGCATTTATTATTGTGATTCGCCTGAAGAAAGGTTTGTGGTTTTTAAGTT